TGAATATTGCATGTCCCATTAATAAAAAGCAAATTAATGTAGTGAAGAAGCCCAAAATTAATGATTTCTAATGATTCTTCTTAGAAATAAAATGAAAAACATGTATCACCTGTTCAGAGATACCAAGAATCCCTTCATAATGAGAAGTATAAACAAGTATAAAAAACAATATATGCTAAAATTGATGAATAAGAAAGCTTATCAATTAATCCATAAAGTTAACTCAACAACAAATCCAGAATAATGGAATATAATTAACAATAGGAAAACTCGGATTCACAAAAACATATACTTACTACATGATGGCATGTTTGTTTATAATCCTCCTAATATCTGTAAGACAAAAATTCATTTCTTAAATTCAAAGGACACTGTAACCAGGAACATTAGTAATCCTATCTCCTGGACCTTCAAAAATCTATGCTTTTCCATCACACGAATACTACTGATGTTAGTCAATTGATAAATTTCTTCAAAAATAGTTGCTCATCAGGGAAAGATGAAAAATCTTCAATAATTCTTAAAAAATGTAAGCCAGTTTTTCTTAACATATTAGTTAACTTAATAAATTAATCTCATTCACTTTCCTAGAATCTCTAAAAATTAGTAATGTAAGAGCACTTGCTACAAATAATAATACACAAGATGTTAGGAACTACTGACGTATAACCCTAACTTCAGAACTTAGCAAACTCTGAAAAAAGTTACATTAGCAAGACTTAATTGTTTTCATGAATCAAACAATACCCTTAATAAATCACAAGATGGATTCAGGAAGGGGTTCTCCACCACCACTGCAGTTGTCGAATTCATACATAAATTCATTGGAAATTTGGAATCAAATAGGAAAACAGCAGGTATATTCATTGATCTTTCAAGGGCATTTGAAAATGTATATCATGAAAAACTGTTGACAAAACTAGATAATAATAGAAAAAGGGGTGGAGTTAATGATCTCATTAGATCATACCTCACAGAATATAACCAATGTACTGAAATCTTGTGGCAATTTGAAAATATCTTATTCAAAGTTAAAACAAGTTTAAGTGAAGTTTACGTAACACATTTAAGTGAAAGTAGACAATGAATTTGATAATCAAACTGACTGCCATAAGGTTGTACGAATATTCATAGATCAAAATCTAACAGACAACAAACAAGTCAACACACTTTGTAATAAAATAAACTCCAATATATTATATTGTAAGCACTAATAATTTTTTATATCTAATATATTGAAGTTATTGAATTAAATTAGAAGTTAAATAATGTAAATTATTTTAATGTTTATTGCGAGCACTTGCATGATTTATGAAGTATTAGAATCATTTCATCAAGTAATGTAATAGAATTCCTGTTACAACTTCAAATACATGTGTATTTTTACACATTTTATAACATATATTTTCAACATAACTTATCACGTTAACGTAAACTTATAAAATTATTACTGTAAGTTCCTGTATTTAAAAAAATAGAATTCTTACTGTAATTTTAATTAATTTCTAGACAGATTTTGTTTGATACTTTCTGTAAGCCTATGAGCAATAAAATATAATAATGAATTTATTACATTAATAAAGCGAAAGGTGATCAATATTAAATAGGTACTACATAAGTGTTACATACAAAAATTCTGTAACTATTTACTAAGTTATTGCCTCTCTTAAAGGGGTAGATATAGCTCACAGCAGTTACATTTTATCTGAAGTACAATCATACTCTACAGCCGTGAAAATGAACTGACACACAGGAATATCTGAATATATGACAATGAACTGACACATAGAAAAAATTTGTTTTAACTAATTTTTTTTTAAATCAAACTTCAACTCGATTTTAGTGCAGTGACTTAGTAATTCCCTCTTAACTCAAATAATTTTGAAGATTTTAATCTATTTCTTCTTTTAATTTGTTGGAAATACTCACAGGTACAAATCCGTGTTCTTCCATTTAGATATCTGAATAAATATAATTTTTAATTTGAATACAAAATTAATATATTGATTATTAAAAGTTTTTTCAGTTTTGTTATCATAAAAACAATTGTCTGAAATGTATGATTTAGCATGGTTTCATAAATAAGACTTGGTTACATGCATCCTAAAAATTTCATAGCTTTAGCATAATTAGTTTCGATAATTAGTTTTTGAGTTATAATGAAATGGATCATAAAAACTGTAATTCTGGAATACAAGCAACATGAGTTTTGCTTACCTTACTTCCATAATAGATGCATGATGCAGCGATGTACTTTTAAAACCATAACTCAAAAACTATTGCAGATATCAAAATATTCCTGAATAATTAATGCAAAGAAAAAAATTGTTCTAAAAAATACCATTTTTTATGGTTTTAAGATGTATCTGCCCCTTAAGTTGAAATTGGATATAATCTGATATGAAGTTAATTAAACAATAAAACATGAAGTATTATTTACTTATTTCATTTGAGTATGAGTTTCATTCACAAAGGTAAAAAAAGTGGGAAACACTAGCTTGTTCATGTACTGCTTTTGAAATTGTCTTAAGATATTTCTAGTACTGATACAATAGTATTGTAATAGTAAAATAATAAATGTCGTCAGTGTTACGAAAGAATGCAAGTTCATCTTAAAAATACGTCTATTAAATAAATTCTTGAAAGTAATGAAGATACTAACTTTAATTATCAGAAATGTGGGAGTGGTGGCCTTGAAAGAAAAAATAAATTTAACATTAGAAGGAAACGCATCAGACAAGCACAGAAACAAAATTTCTCGGAATCACCATACAAATTCAACCTCAGTGGAACTCTTACCTAGAAGACATGAATTCAAAATTGAGCAAACTTAATTACGCTCTTAGAAAAATAATAAAAAGAAACGCACCATTGATACAGCACGAACAGTGTACTTTGCAAATGTGCACTCTATCTCATATACGGGATAATAATATGGGGCCAAGCACAGAGGCTAAACAAACATTCAAAATACAAAAGTGAATCATTCGAACAATAACAAATACAAAAAGAACAGAGTCCTGCAGACCTCATTTCAAAAAACTTAACATACTTACACTGCCTTGTATTTTTATTTATGAAGTTATCAATGTTTGTAAAACAACTAGTAAACAATGACACACTTTACAAATTCAACTCAAGCTTACACCCCTATAACACAAGGCAAGCTTGTAACCTTCATCAACCAATGTGTACAAGCACATTATACAAAAGAGTACATTCTCTTAAGGTATACAATTCCTTACTTCATACTTAAGTATACAAAAAAAAAACTTACATTTCCTTGGGGAAAAACTTTTTTTATAGCATTCAGGAATACCTCGATGACTAACAGTGCAACTGTGATTTCAGTGCCGCAGTAAGGACTAGGTGTAGAAATAGGAAAAAATCTGCCCATAGCCTCCTCCACATTTCACGATACTATCAAGGAACATACTAACACTGTTAAACCTTATGTAGCTGTTACCATAATTGTTATAATGTACTGTTAGTATACTATTATTATATTATAAGTAATGTTATTATTATTATTATTATTATTATTATTATTATTATTATTATAAGTAGTAGCAGTAAAATCACTATATCAAGAAAATGATATTCTAAAAATGAAATGTTAAAATATTTTAAATTAAATTAAAGTAAGTCAAATGTTCAACTAATTGCTGCTAAAATATTTATCTTCTATGTAATATCTTAATGTATCTGTAACAAGTATTGTATAATCACTAGGCCAATTGACCCATCTTGATCAGGTTTTTTGTCCAGTTCCCTGTTCCTTTGAGAAAATGCTGAGATGGCCCCTTGTTTTGCTTCTGGACAATAAAATAAATGTACTTCACTCGCTGCTCCCAAGATGTATGCGATTGTACTTCCTCTAAATATATCATATTTGAAGCGTCATACACGATTGTAATCGAGTATGTGACTCAATAAATATTATTATTAAAATTCTTACCTTATATAATTACATAATTTTATAGTAATCCTATTCTCAAGAAGTACTCTGCCTTTGAGTTGCTCAGATAAAAAGCTTGGATTTGCCCTAATGGTTCTCTACATGTGAAGAGAACAAATGTGAAAATATGCATGATGCAAAATTGCAAAGATTTTGGAAACAATTCAAACCTGTAAATCACAATTATGGGGTTAAATTTCTTCTGAAGAAACTTATATGAGCATTTACTAAAATTTCGAAAGAAACTGGATGTGGGATTGTGAAGGAAAAGGAAAAGAATCATATAATTCTGTAATCATGATAAATATATTTACAAATATTTGCTACTGGAATCCAACAATTCTTATTAACAGTTCAAGTAAATTTAAGTGAATTTTGCTAATACATTAGCTCATCCTCAGATAATGCCATTCTCTCTGAACTTACTCCTTATTGCATACACATAATATTGAATTGATAGCACATGATATAACAGTATTGAACTGTTAATCAACTGAAAAATTTTATATTCCCCTGTTATAATAGGAATCAAACAGATGCTAATTAATATGCATGTCACAGTCCCCTAGCAATAATTTATTAAGACAATTTATAAACACAATACATTTTCGTTCTTACATTTGCATTCACAATAATCTATTTAAAACATTTTAAGCTTTATTAATATTTCTTTTAAGTTTATTGTCCAGGATGTTTAAAACCAATTTAATTCTTATAAACAAAATAGACAAGTTTTATCAGAATAATCTTTTTCTTTTTGCACAATATGATTACCTTTATTTTTCACAAAATATTTCTCTTAAAATATACCATTCTTCAACACGCACATATGAACATGCCTAACACGCTCAAACACTGATTCATTCAACCTTTTTAAGATGCAATACACATTGCAAAATAATATTTGGCACAGCTATAGCTGAAAGAATAGGGTCAATTGGGCAGATATTTAACTCCGAAACAAAAAGACGATTTAGATGACATCTTTTTTTAAATTTTCTTTGGAAAGTAATTTCATCAAAGACCAATTCATGCACATAATTCAGAACTCCATAGAATTTGAAACTGGACGTTTTTTAAATGTCTCCTCTAAACCTCGCACAAATGTTTCAAAAATAACTACGCTTTTGTATATACTAGTTTTTTTGTAATCTTTAACACTTTTAACATCATTGTTCTTGGAATCATGTTCATTAATTTCTTCAATTAACTGACTCAAAACTGGCACTGTTAGAGGACTAAACTTTTCAACTAATTTTGGATTGAAAGGCACACAAATCTTTCCAGTTTTAGGATGCACACAAAATGGAGATTTTAACAAGTGATTAAGACCTTTTGATACATTAATATCTAAACGAGGATATGTATATTGAAGCATTATTTCATCAACAAGATTTTGATTTCTCTTTTTTAACATACCTTTCTCTTTTAACCCTGTAACATGTGCTAAAAACGCATTCCACCGATCAAGAGATGTAGTATGCTTCATCAGCTCTTTCTGCAATTCATCTCGTAAGTGATCATCAGCAACAGCACCTAGAAATTGTGTCACTCCTTTTGATGTCCCCAAAACATCCTGTTCTTCAATACACATGTTAACAAAGTACTTCTTTGTAATATTTATTGCACGTTGAATTGAATGATGCACTTGATCACCAAAAATATTAACTTTCTTAGTCATATTCACTCCACCAGTCACTACCTGCAAGTATTCAGCTACTGCTCCTCTAGCTTTGTCTGGCAGTGATCGTGCTACAGCATCACAAACCCAGCAATGAATACCACGACGACCTGAAAACACCCACAGAAGGTGTTCAAATCCAAAATCTTCTCTCAGTGCTGCATCTAAAACCTTGCATGCAACAACCATGAACTTCCAACATTTGTCACAAATGTCTGCTCCACTACAACACGTACGGATATCATCATAATCAGTCATGTCAATGTCAAAAACTAATTCTTTTTCTGAAGGGGAAAAGTTGGGATGGTTCTTTTCCCTCGGACTCAAATTATAAACAGCACCAATATCAATTTTTACGGGTCTTTCTTTATATATGTCTTTCTCCAACTCCTCTAGATCATTAAAAGATTTGAAGCGGATATAAATGTCATTCACAAGGGTAAAGGAAAATTCACGCCTAACAAAATATCCTTTCTCATTCCCATAATTCAGCCATCTGAAATATGGTTCAAACGGAAACAAACGCTTATAATAAAGAGGTAGCATATCAGTCAACGAATCTTCACTGAATGATGACATAGTGTTTATTTAGAAAATAACACTATGCAAACAACGATTTTTCCCCACAGACGGCGACCACGACTGAACAATATATACGAACGCCCGATTCTTTACAGCTTCACCACCTGTGATTTTAAATGTATAAACATGTACGTTCATTCACCACTCGCTCTACTTTAACACTTCACTTCCATTTCCCGCTATACTTCCCGCCCGCGCGCCAGTCTATACCAATAGGAAACGTCTTTGGTCCAGGCTTGCCTGCTGCCTTGAAAAACTTTTTCCCCATTCTCAGATATATTTTCCAAAGGCCGAAATATGCACGTTTCAATTGAAAATCTCCAACATAAAAAGTTAAGTCATTTTAATGCCAAAAATGGTGTAAAAATGGTAGCACATCACCGAGAATTATAGCAGTTTACATAAGAACCGAACACCTCACTTAGTTTATAGCGCGAAATTTAAACCTTTCATATTAATAGTACAAATATCATATAGAGAATTCAATTATCAAAATTTAACGGTTAAAAATCACCAATTTTTCTCCAAGACTTCGTTCTTCCAAGTATCTGCTCCAAACAATAATAAAACTCCCTTTATGGATATAAAATCACAAATATGTCAAGCAGTGAACGTGGTTACGAGAAACAGTGCCAGCAACCAAACTGTAGCGATCTTCAAATGTCTTTATTATGGTTGGTATCAGAATTTCTGTTTCAGAAAGGTTGTACCAATTTCTGCATATTGTACATATTTTTTATGATCTTTGAAAAGTAAAGAGAATTGTGTGCAATGTTTTTATTTTAGTAATAATGTGCAGTGATTTCCTTTTTAGCTTTTTGATTTCTTTTCTCTATAAATAAAGAACTATTCAGGGTCTTTACAAGGATAATTGGAATATATATTCTATGTTCAGTTTTGAAGAATGTGAAGTTATATTTATCTGTCAGGTTAAGTCATTGAGTGTATATTATTAATTTCAAATGCGTGCAGAAATTGAAAGAAAACTAAGGAGCACCTGGCCGTGTTGTTTCCCTACAGACCCCCAATTCATCAAAAATTATAGAACAATGAAATGTTCAATTTGGACTCATATTCTCACACGCAAAGCATTAATGTTTTCCATACTCCTAATGTCATGCTATCACCAAGAAAAAATGCTCCAATTTCCTCATGTGACATTTCAAAAACGCCAATTTTTGCTACACAAGGACCCTATGTTTCATTCACACCCACACTTCACAACAGCATTTTTTTTAGGCTACTGGTTGAAGTTAATTTTTTCAGATTTGCAATTCAGTTTTAATACAAGTGAATATCAGAAATAATTAATAATTTTATTCAATAATTGTTAAGTTTTGTTCAATAATTGTCTGCGTTTTTTATGATTGACAGATTTGTTTATAACAGTATTGTGTATGTTTCCCAATCAGGACAAACGTGATATGAAATTACTTGTTGTAAAGGTGATATTTGAAGCATGAAAGTTGTACCTTCGGGAAATTAAATATATGAGTATGTGATGTTCCCACTGCTTAAAGTTGAATATAGCTGAATAGATAAGACTGAAAATAATTTTGTTTGAGATGCTAAAGATTCCAAACATGTAGAAACCAAAGATTAGAGGTAGATTCTATAACAGAAAACAACATATATTATACAGATCATGAAATAAGCTGTTGGATATTTGTCAATGTCATTTTCAATTCCAAAATAGCATGTCACTCCTGTTTTTAAACAACTAATTTTATACTGTGTATTAAGAAAATCCAATTGAGTGAATATAATTATTTCTCTTTATCATTTATAGTGCCTACTTTTGAATGATTATAACTGATGGCTTTTCCTGCTTTAAATAATCATTGAATCTTCATATATTGTTCAATAAGGCAGAATAAATGATGTTAGTTTTAAATATATTAAAATTAAATAGTTAATTTACATTAATTATAATACTCATTTTAAATTCTAAAAAAGTGAAAAAAATTAAGGTTCTGTCCAGAAAACAAAATTACATCTCAAGCCATTTACAGCATACCTGATTGATCCTGAACAGAATCTTATCAAACGAGAGAATTTTGATCAATCTTATCTTATCAAATAAGAGAATTTTGGTAGACACCAAAAGTCATTAAAGTATTGAATAATTCACAGGTTTAGCATCAAAAGCACAACTAGGATGGTTCTATAAGAGGGAGGGGCACAAGTGAAGTGAAACTTGGCTTTGTTTTCTTATAAAGAAAATGTTATTTATATTGATTTAAAATTTGATTTATAGTTATTTATGTTATTCAGTTCGTTACTGTAGAAAACGAGAAAAAAAAATTTTTGAATATGTCTCTTCAGCTTTAAACGCTGGTGCTAACATCCCGTGGGATTCCCCACTGTTCAACATTATTTTGAATAATATTCAGATATTTTTTAGAGACTAGAGAACCTATATCTAAATCATAGGTGGTACACTTGCCTTCAATTATTATTATACATGAAACACTCTTGCGAATGATCTCGGTTTTACAGGCGACACTGCATCAAAGGCTGTGATGCTGATGTTTCGGTCATCTCATCATGATCTTTCTTATGGCTGAAGAGCTCACTTCTGCCCTGATGAGAATCACTATAAGATGCTCAAAATGTGAGCATCACACTTCGCTGCGGACTGCCAAGATCATTCACATGATATATTCACCTCTAAAACCGTTAAACAGATTCCTCATTAGAGTGTTTTTTTATTTCAATTGTTTTTTAATAGTTATTTTATATTATCTATAAATAAAAGGTGTAATGTTCTGTAACTTTCGGGAAGAATGTTTTGAAGTGTGAAGTGTTGTTATGATCTCATAAACATATGTCTAGTTTTTAAAAGAAATCGCTTATATGAATATAAAAAAAAATATTTTGCTGCTTTTATCTCATTTGAAAAACGTAAAGTAATAAAATAGTAACTATCCCAGCCTAATTTTTTTTTTTTAGAAAGCCTACCAAATTTTTTTTAGTTTTTTAAATCTTGTTTGAGTGTGCACTTTTAAATTGCATTCTGATCTGATTTCTTTTCCTGAATATCATCATTGTTTATGTCGTAAAAGAGAGGCTCTGTTTTCTGTGGTTTTTAGTTTACTTACAGTAGTGTTTATATTTACTGGTGTACTATCTAATTGTTTTCATTTATTCTATTGCAGCTTGGAACACATGGCCTTCAATTGTATTCAGTCACAGAGCTTAGTGTTGGCAGTCGACAAAGTATGTCTTACAACTGCTCCAGCATTTTCTAAGGTTTGAATATGTCTTTAAATTGAGAATTACAATTTACTGATAATGATAACTATACTCCTTCCATGTTCGTATCTTTTTTAACTTTCAACAGAATCAACCTTTTCCCCCTCATCATTGGCTCTTCATATTTAATTTACTTGTAGCAAGATGAGGGATGACCCAGATTTCAACATTCAGTTTGTTCACCTTATTAAAGAGAATTCTTGTCTCTATGACCATACTAATGCAGATTACAACAATAGAGATATTCAAGATATAACCTGGGAAAGAATTGCAAGACAAGTGTCAGAGACAGGTGTGTTTATTGTTGTAAAGTTTATTTTGAAAATATTTTGTTTGAAGTATTTAGTACATGGGTTAGCCCATTATGTATTTTGCACATTGTACATTCATTTTAAAATTTAATTTATTTCCTGTATTGTCTTTTGTGATGGCAAATGTGACTACGGAGAACATTAGAACGCAAGCCTAAAGAAAATATAACGCTAATATCAGTTAAGAATGTTGTAAATTAAAAAAAACTTGCTTTTTCTTTGATCACTAAATGCAACTTACTCTAAGATGTGAGTTCAAAGAAAACATTCTGGTACAAGTAATAAATTTGCTGAATTAAAAAGCTGCTTAGCTTCTAGACACTAAATGCACTTTTACTCACCTTCCTCCAAAAACACATATACAGGGGTTTGACAAAATAATAAACTCACCTGACATACACAAAATATAAATATTAATACAGTGTTAGGCCACCTTTTGCTTTGAGAACAACTGCAATTCACCATGGAATATGTTTATAGAGGGTCTGCACAATTTCCAACACAATGTTCTCCCATTGTACCAAAACATCTGTCAATTGCTTCAACTGGCCAAGCTGGCTAGATGTTTGATGATATTTGATGATGTTTGAAGACGATATGATGTTTGATGATGCTCCACAAACCTTGCGTGATCCTTTTTTGCTGTGTGTATGTGCGCATTATGATATTGGAATTTGGTAGTTCTTGACAACAATATGGTAGTCATTGTAAGCACTTCAGTTGTTGAGGATGTCAAGATATTTGCTCATTAATCCGGCCAGTGAGGGTTATGTAATGACCAGCTGAATACCATGATATAGCTACCCAAATCATAACGGAACCTCCCCCATGCTTGACTGAAGGAAGCTGGAAGGCCAGATCATAGGCTTGCTTTGGGATTCTACATACCATGTAAATGCTGATTCATCAGACCATACAGTGTACTTGTCATCAAGGACCAGGTTTTATGATCTTGGTATCACTTTTTTTTGCAGCTTTGCGTTGGCTTCTGTTATGAAGGGTTTCGTAAACACAGCCCTGCTATGAATGTGAAGCTCCTACCATACTTTTTTTTATAGAAACAGTATTAATAAAGTGAGTGTTGAGTTCTCAGTCATTTTTGTCGTGGTAGTTTTACATTGTCTGTCCCTTTCCTTCAATTTTTAATGTTCGTCAGTCTCTCTCAGACAACTTTGGCTTTCATCCACTATTCCTCATTGCCAATCATGTTTTAACCCATTTTGTGTATGCTGGCATTACTGTGGACACTGTAGCTCATGAAACGTGAAACAGTTAAGCTATTTTTGACACAGTTGCTTCCACTAACCACACACTAACAATTTGCTCTCTTTCGAAGTCTTGAGAGATCACTTATCGATGATTGCATGTGTTCACCTCTCCATTGCAGACAAAAGCCTATTATATTTTAAAATTTAAAATATATTTCATTTTGATTTTTAAATTTATATTGATGATCCTGAAAAGTGACAGCTTTTAGCAATATTTGTTGAGAGATGTGTATGAGCAATATTTGTTAAGAAATGTGTCTGATCTCATAAGAAGTGACATTATGTGTTAATTCAATTGTGAAGTGGAAGACTTCCATGAACCAGAATCCTTGCAAAAACTCTTCACTCTCAGCGTGATGACATGTTAAAGGCTGTGATATTTTGATGTGGCATCACTTGCATGATTTTCCGCTGTGCTGAAGTGCCAATATCACAACAAGATGATTAAAACTTTGGCATCTAAGCCTTTCCTGCAGCATTGCAGTAATATTATTTCATAAAATGTCAAACTGAGTAAAAAGCTGAACTTGCTTTTTGTGAGGTTTACGTACTTACTTTAAAATATTCCAGACACATGGGCAGTTGTCTTTTTGTAATAATTATTGTATATTTTCCAAAGATTTATAATTTCATATTCTTGACTTTTTAATGCCTTGTTTGCAGTTTTTGACTGTAAAGAGAGATGGAAGAATCTGAGGGCTTGCTACACAAGATATCTGAAATTTCTGGCTGGCTCATCGGAATCACCTGGCAATTCAAAATTTAGAAGACCTTATTACCTTGCAGAATATTTAAATTTTTTGAAGCCATTTACAAAACCTCGTAAACCAAAAGCAAGTGATCAAAATGTGCTGGCATCAGTAACATTTCCTGACATTACAAACGAAGAAAACAGTGAAGATGAAAGTGAGGGCCTTTTGAAGAAAGAATATTTTTGTGAAGATAATGAATCACAGCAAAATGAAGCAACTTCACCAGTTGAGGAACAATCACTAAGTTTTTTGTCGTGTTCTAAAAGAATTAAAAGAGATCCTGAACATTGTACCTCTAATGATGTGACAAGATCTTCGTTTGATGTTTATCAGTTGAGACAGAACTTTTCTGAATGTAGAGCAGAAAGTGAAGATGCTGATTTTCTATTTCTTAGGAGTATCCTCCCAGACATGAAGGAAATGAACAAAGCACAGAAAAGAAAGTTTAAAATAGGAATTTTGAATTTGGCCGGTGAGATTTTAAACGAGATAGAAAGCTGCCCTGTTCGTTTCACTCACCCCTCTTCATCTACTTCACTGGCTGCAATGTCCGCTAGCCATCAGCCTGAAGGCAATAGAGGAGCCTTGTAATTTTCATTGTTATTTCTTGTTATTTAATATTTATGTGCTTTTTATAATTGCAAATACATGTATATAATTCTTATTCAGCTTTCAATGTTTTGAATTTTGTTGTTTTCTATAAAACCTTATAAACATATAAGCATTTGAATATATTCTGGGTTCAAAATGTAGGAATGCTGATAACAATGTGTTTATGAAATAATAAGTAATAACTATGTACAATATAAAATATATAAAAATATACAATTAACATATGAATAAAAAATACAATAGTATAAAATTTTACAGTAGCCCTTTTTTAATTTTGAAACTTTCAACTTAATTTTAGGATACTCTCTAAATCAATGGTTCCCAATTGGGCAATATAGACGCCCTGGGGATCTATGAAATATTGAAGGGGTCAAGGGTGATCAAACTGATAAGGGAAAGGGCGGAAAACCTGAACAGAACAACAAACATGCTAATCTACCAACTTTCTGTAAACTATATCTTTCCTGGCACGGACGATTCCTGGCAGCGCCGCAAATGATCGTCCGCACCATTGCCTCAGTGCTTTTCTCGGCCACCTACTCGCAAAGTGCTCATTTAATGATTTGATGATTTCCTTTTTCATTTATTAACTTAATAATTGTTTACTTATTTCATCTCCCGTCTAGGCTCCGCTCATACAACGTAACTTCTTGCACGCCGCTTTCCGATTCTCTAATTGCAGTTTCCTTAATAGTCCGAACATTTTCTAGAAATGCTCAAAATTCTTTCATCCTTTCAATATTCTAAGTAATTCCTATTATCATCTAATATGTATGTTCTGAACCAAGCGGTACGTTACTATGTTGGGAGTAGAGTTCCCGTGCACATCCATTTCCCCCTCCATGTTTATGTTGCACAGCAATTTAAAGGGTTTGGATCCAAACTTCCCCATCGCCACAAAGCGTAGATGCCATTGTCATTCGATTCCTTGAATCTACGTTGTATCCAACCCTCTTTCCCAAACCTAAACCAGGCGTATACACCTCTTGCGTCCCTGCAAGGCGTGCGTACGTAACTTTAGCAACCTCACTCGTGTGAATGGGCCACTAGAAGGCGTTTGTCGGCCGTTGCTGCCAGAACATCTTGCCTTATATCCGAAAGACTATCGCAAATTAACCACGTGTTTCCCTAACTCCAACCAGTTCCGGAGGAACGTTTCCCAAACCTGTTCTCGTAATAGTTTAATTTTGTACGACTAGTAGCGCTGATCGCTCTCTTGTAATTGCACTATAATGTACCTATGTATAAGCGTGGCATCCAGTTTAGCTGCTAATGTAATCCAAAGATAATTGAGTTTCATTTTAAGAGCCTTTCCAAGTTTCTACCCTACCGACCTCAAGACGCCAACGTTTGTTGCGAATCTGACTTCCAGACTGTTTCGATACGTTCCAATTGATTTATTCTATCCACTCCCCAGATTTCTTCTTCTATCACACAAATGTTACCCTTGAACCTGTTCCAGTGTCCACTTTTCTTTCTCCTGCCTTATATCTCTGCTTCCTTGTGGGGTATATTGAAGAGCAAATGCCGGCAATCTCTCATTTGACATTCTTTCCAAATGTTCGCACCCTTTTACTTCAGATTTCCCCCTCATAATTCATAACTGTGAGATCGAGTGAATTAAACATTGTTACACACACCTTTAAAACCTATTCCCGTTCTCTGCGTGTTTAATGCAGTTGTATGGTTATTCTTTTTTATTAATTTGTAGCGTCTGGATTGACGCAACGTCTCCAAACCCCCTAGGGGAGCGTTGAGCGCTTTGCACTTGGAGTAAATCTTCCATTAATTTGTGCACTTGGAGTTACCCTCCATTCACATTTTCGTCTTTGTCACGTCTCGTCGCCGTCAGTTGTCAAGAGGACCGCCAGGTAGCATCTCCGCCAACGCGCCTCCTACTTTGCGCTCCTGCGTCACTACTCAGCAGCCAAAATTGGGAAGGAATTAGGATAGGGGTAGAGTTTACGATACATCACAAAGGTTGGACTAGCACTTGTGAAGCAGCCGAACTCGTTTTGTTAGAACAAATTTCACATGAGATTATCCGGGAAGCGAACCCAGACCTCCTTGGCGAGCGACTTCGCCCTGAGCCAGCACAACCGCTGAGCCAGCCAATATTTCATTTGAGGTATTGACTGAATGGGGTGAAACGATTTTAAAATGTATGTAAGTATTTATTACTGTGATCTTTAATCTAATCTGACCCACGCTGGGCATAGCCATTTTGAAACGAATATAGAATCTCTTGAATTATTAACACAATGTGCTCAACTTTGTGCAACCCAATCTAGAAAATGTTTGCAATTCTGAACTTACTAAGTTATTGATGAACGACTTCCATGTTCTTCACAATTAAATATTATTTACGTGGGCCGGTGTCCCATCCAGTACGGACTAGGTAATACCCCACTCTATCCGCATTTCTTCAATCCATCGTGCATTTCTCCAATCCATGCGCGAATAATATCTATTACTCGCGCAACTTTTCTTGAACGATGACCTTGCTTCCCCCTCTCTGGCACAATAAACAGATGAAGGCGAAAGTTCGCAGCGACCACTGATGACAACATTCCAAACACATCTTCACTGGCGCGAAATAGAAACAATTTTCTTTTGAAAACGAGAACTTTTATCGGTTATTTTCTCCAAAAATCTAACGAAATGTCCGAAGCTGGTACGGATCTATCACAGGAGATAACTCGAACTCCTGATAAAGTTAGAACGCAAATTATTGAGAACGTTACGAAGGCATGACTGATTCTTCAGAGATTGGCATAGCTTCATAAAATCTAGTGGCCGATTTCGTAACTAATAGCACCACTCCACCCGCATTTCTTCAATCCATCGTTCAAGGAAAGTTGCGCGAGTATTAGTACGAAGTTGTGCCGCCACTCAAGGCCCCCTGGCGGCGCGTGAACAGGAGCATCGGGAACAGTCGCGCAGCGCGGCGCGTGCGGGTCGCCATGCCGACCACACATCGCGCGAGGCGTGTCCTGCGAGCGAACGGCGGCAGCAGGCTGGAGTCGCGGCGGGCCGTGGCGGCGGGGGCGCGGCGCGGGCGGTGCGGCAAGACGATGGCGTGGTGCGTGGCGCTGTGGCGGGGCGCCGGCGCGTGGCGGGCGGGCGTGAGCGAGGGCGCGCGGCGCCTGGCGCGGGACGTGGAGCGGAAGGCGGTGGCGGAGGGACCGGAGGTACTACACGATTGATCGAGTCACTGGTTAGTGATTCCGGGCGCGTAGGCGGCCAAGGTCGTTAGTCCCGTAAGTGTAGTGTTTGCTTTGCGGTGGCGGTGATCTTCCCCCGCTGGATGGTGACATCCGGTGCTGTCCTACACATAGGCTTGCGGTGGTTTCTCAACCAGGTATCTCCCAGCAGCGGGGCACAGCCCCACCCGCAACAAGCTTTAAACTCCCGGCAGTCTCCGAACAAGTGCGGTAATATAGTGCTTGAAAGTGTGTGTAGGTAGGAGGTGAGTATAGGTCAAGGAGAAGGAATGAAAGACGCGCGGCCCGTGGCTCTTTGATAGGGTACTTCTCCGGCATTCACCTGACCAAGAGGGGCGTACTACCATGGACGGTGTAAACAAGAAAGACGTTTTGTTTGCACGCTAAAGCTCCAGCTCTCTGCACCTCTGCCCTTCGCTTCTTAGCCCGGTAAGGATTCCGGTCTCTAAGCCGCGTAACTGATGGCCATGAATCTTGAAAGGGAAAAACACAGAAACAGAATAGTTGCTACGGCTTATTACACGACGCTCCCCTCCTACTCTATTTTTATTTATTATCCACGACTGTTGGTACGGAAGATATGTGGCGAGCGTGCTATATTCCCATCACAATACCTAGTTCATTCGACCTTCCTGAGCTTTTTCTTTCGTCACACAGCTACAGAAATTGTGACGATTTATTTTAAGAAACTACAGCTTTATTTTACCTCCGACCTAAAACAGAAAGTATTTCCCCTGCGAGATAAGATATTATGTATGACATTATTTGTAGTAATGTGACTATGTGTTCCATCGTAGGAAGATATAAAATCATCAGTAATTTCCATGTTTCTGCTTGTTCTATTACAGTTTAAAATCGTTTCAGGTGACTGATTTAATACAGGTCAATCTAAAAAATGTGCTTGGCTACTGACCACTTAGACAGTTCGCCGCTGAAAATAATAAGCCGCCGAAGAAAACTTGCATTTGAAAAACACTTAATCGTTTGCACGCAAAATATAGATTAGAGTCGACATGGCCGCTGTTACTGCCGAGACGTTGGCCGTGAGGTCCTAGAGTTCGAATTCTGACGGTATCGACAGTAGTAATTTGGCACGGTCGAATTCAACCTCTCTCGGCAGGAAAATTCTAGATGCCGGCTGCTTGGGCAGTAATTTTCCGCGATTTCTTCGAATAAAACCAGACGAATGCGAGATCAGTACATCTTACTTGTCCTCTCCTCTCCCCTTACACCCATCCTGACACTTACTTGCAGTACAGTACCAATCATGTCGGGAGACCGTTCGGGAGCTTAGAGATTTTTCGGTTGGGGCGGCGCCCCGATGGAGGAAATTCCTGAAGGCCTGAAATAACACAGCAAACAGAAGTGTAGGTCGGCTAGGGACCTCGAAATGGAGCGAGGGGGTAACACCGCCACCACTCATAAAAATCATACTACATTAATGTGACTTATTACCATTGCAGTTAACTTCTCGGAAACACCAATCAACAATTACTTCCATTACACACGCTGTAGATCATATGAACGTCTACGGCTGCGCTATTAAAAAAACAACTACAAAAAATAACAAAAACAAACAAACGAAGAAACAAACACCACCAGTCGCGATTTACTTGAGCGAGTGGTGGCAGGCGGCGCTGCGCATTCTGGAACGACTATTGTGCGTTTTCTTCAGCAGAAGTTTCGCTGCTGAGCCACTAATCACTGTTGAGCAAGCCACAAGTTTTATATACTAAATCCGAGCCCTGCTAATTTGCATTGAGAGACAAGGTGAAAAGTGGTTCGCCACACTGTTCCTGCGCGGTGCCGCGCCTGCTGGAGTGACTGTTCTGCACGCTTATGCAGTATTATTACTGCTGAGCAGGCCACTAGTTTTACATAAATCCGAGCCCTGGTAATTGCATTCAGAAACAAGATGAGGGCTTCCCGTGCTGTCTCTAGGTGGCGCTGCGCCGACTGCAGTGGTTGTATTGTGGGGTTAGTGTTTCGCTGCTGCGCCACTAGACGCTGCTGAGTAGGTCA